TTGGTGTTAAAGAACTCGGCTACTCCGCCGCACCGGGGAAGGTGAAAGTGATTTTGTACAGGCTTCTCCGCCTTGTGTTGGGGGCAAAAAGAGAGTCACTTTGTAGTATTAGTGCAATATTCGGAGGGTGCCTCCGGGGAGTGGACGTAGGTCAAGGTTTGACCAAACCACTATAAATCTGGTGTGTTCTTTCTTATTTTTCTTCCGCATTTAATTTAATTGTAAGTTGTTTACTCTGATTGAAAAGTTTATTTTTAAACTTTAAATTTAACATGCATTAATAATTAAAAAGGTTTTCTAAAAATCCAAGAGTAGAAGTATAATTTTTTAAATTACCAATTCAGCCCCCCCCCCCTCTTGGTTAGCCTTGGGACAATCACTTAGGCTTAACATCCTAATTCATATTGAATGAGTTTCAACATTCTAAAACACTATTTTTGAAAATAGGCTCTGATACCAATTGAAATAACTAGATCGATAAGAGGGGGGTGAATTGTGAAAATTTTGTAGCAATAATTAAACACCTAAGCAAGAGTTCTAATTTTTTTGATGTTTTTAAATTTTTAACATAAAAATTTTAACTACTACGAAGGCAAATAATTGAAGTCAACGTGCAACAATGAAATCTTTTTTCTTTCACAGTTTTTACCAAGAAAATGTTATGAAAATAAAGTGCAAGCAAAAAATAAAAAGCGATAAGGAAAAATCACACCGGAATTTTATAGTGGTTCACTCAAACCATGACCTACGTCCACTCCCCGGAGTCCTCCGCTCCGGAAATTTCACTACAAACTATAGCTCTCCTTTTGCGCCCCTCGGCAAGGCGGAGAAGCCCTTACAAGACTCACTTTCACCAACCTGGCGTGGCGGAGTGCCAAGCACTGTTTTCACCCTCATGGCTACAGTAGAGTACTTTCTCGTTTTTCTCCCTCCTGGAGAAGGTAGAGTACCTTCGAAGTCACGGATGTAGAAGAGATATGTGCTTTGATGTCCATAAAGAAAGTCAATCTAATGTTCAAAAGGATGTACTTATTAATAGTTCTCAGAGAAATGGTTCAGAATTTGCTGGCATAAGTAATGAAAAGATATTGATTGATAATGCGGATAATGCCGATTCAGAAATTTGTTATGGTCCTTGGATGCATGTGAAGTTTAGGAAAAAAAAGAAGAATGAAGAGTGGTGAGAAGTCTAATCAGAAATGTGGAGTTCAGCCAAATTTTGGGAATCTTGGGAGTAATTCTTCTCAAGATCATAAGGCATCAGTAAACCTACCTTCATCTAATAAGTTTAATTTATTGTCTCAAGATTTTCCTGATGAAATGCCTCGAGTAGATGCTAAAGTGGATGAGAATATTCTTGAACCTGTTAAGTTTAATTAACCTTCTGTAGCTGAGAAAGCTTATTTTGTTGCTAAAAAAATTTTAGAGAATATCTTAGAGGTACAGCGGAATCTGAAGCTTGTGGGAATGCAGATTATAGTATTAATGAAGGAATTATAATGACTGTTTCAAGAGATGATGCAGACTCTATTTTTCAATTTGTGCTGAAGCAAAAGATATTTTAATGCTTCAAGCTTCTCTTGAAGCGGGAGAGATGATGCATGACAAGTAGAGATCTGAAGGTTTTTGTGGTGAGGGATAACCGCAGATATTGAAAATCTAGCACAATAATGATGATCCTAAGTTAAGTTCAATATCTTCTTGTCTTGTTAATAGTAATAAGGATTTAAGTTTATTTGGTGTAAAATAGAAAAAGCACTAAACAACTTAAATTCGTAGGACCTATTAAGGATTTTCCTAAAAAGAGGATAGTTGATTTTAATTTGAAGAGTGGAGGGAATTCAACTTTTGTTGGTTAATGTTGGCATTTGTGTTTTGGGTTGGTAGAAGAGATTATAATGGAGAAACTTCTCTTTATATTAGGGAAGTTGTGAGGGATATTGATGGTTGTTTTATTGATCTTCTGGATACTAAAATTCAGAAATCGTCTTGGGTTATTCAGTTATCCTTGGTTCAAGAAGATCTGAAACAAATAATTGAAGAGTCGGTTCCTAATCCTTCTCATGATAATAAGGGGAATCAATGTTTTTATAAGGATTTGGTTGCATCAACTAATGTGGAGTCTTCAGTGGCTGTTCCTGGCTCTAATTTGGAGACAGATGGGGAATCTACTGCTTCGGATATATTTGAAGACTTTTCCTTTGGCGAGATTGCTGATGATAAAGTTGAATTTTTAGTTTTTTTTTTTTATGAGTAGTTTTTTTTTTTATATATATTTGCATAATTGAATTATAGTAATGATATTTGAGATTTTTACTACTTTCACTTTTTATCTATTTGGGGACTCTGTGATACTAATCAACTTTTTAAGTTGTTAAATATTTGGTATCACCATCAACCCATTTGATTTAAAGTAAGAAATATGGGATCTCATTTTCATTATGATAATTTTATTTTGACAAATAATTTCTTCAATAAGATTCCTATCCTTTTGTTTGGATTAGGAACTCTTAGTTTTATTTCCTTTCTAGTTTGTATTAGGGTTTTTATTTCCTGCTTTTAATGCAATTTACATTCCTTCAAAAAAAAAAAAAAAAAAAAAAAGAATGGAGCGGTACATTGTTAAGAGTTTGAGATGCTTCTTATGTGTAAAATACGAAAATAATCTAAGGACTTCCCCAGATCTATTGTTCCATACAACAAAATTTAAGCAGTCGGTATCTTTTACAGAAAAGACCGTCACAAAACAAGTATAATACTTGTTAAATTTTACAATAGACGCATCAATTAGAGATACTCAATTGCAAAGCAAGAAAAGAAAGCAATTCATAAAAAAGAGAGAAAAAAAAAAACTCACAATTCACAAATGCAGGTGAAGTGCAAGAAATCTTTTTGGAGCCCAAGCATACAAAAAGAGTAACAAAAATAGGAAAAACAAAAATATTTTTATAGTTATACAGAGTTATTAATTCAAACATTCAATTCATTAATTCCATGAAGTCAAATAGTGTTCTCCAATGAACTGAAAGGAAACTGATTCGGCCATTGAACGGTATTTTTGGTAGGACGTAGACATGCAAGGTGACTATTTAGCTGATTGTTGCAAATTGGCAATTTACTAACAAAAACTGTAGCTTCCTTTTCCATTGGAACAGGAGCTCCCAAGGGATCCTGTAAAAACAACAGACAAGACATAGTGTTAAGATTTTAAAATTACTTATAATCTCAAGGTTACTGGAAGTCTGGGAAGAGTAAAGGATTTTGTTTGAATTGAAGTAATGTAGGAGAAACGAAATGAAATCTTAAGGTATACCATTCATCATTTCAACACTTATTGCGCAATTAGCTATTAGGTGTTTAGTTCCAATGTGAACTAATAGGGAATGAGATTTACTTAAGAAATAGGAATTAATGCATTTTGGCCATTTATAATTTTTGTCGCACAAGCATCGGAGCTTGATGTTGGGGGAAGATCTGAAGCCATGTAGTGGGATAAAGACTTGTTGTTGTTGTATGTTGTTATATGTTGTAAGCATCGGAGCTGTAAGGAAATAGAACATAGGTATAGATAAAGATTTTAAGGTTCTTGCAAATGAAGGGTGTGAGATGATGATGTAATCTGGAGTGGAAGATCTAATAAGCTCACTAATTAGAACATCACATTATAACTGCTAGAAATTAGTAAACATATGGGAAAACTGACATAGGCAAAGAGGCTTCCCATACCAATTGTTCCATGTGTGACAAAGAGGCCATTTTAATGAATGAATCATTGAAACTAGTGTTGTCATATTATTTAATACAGGTCAAGCCTCAAAAATTTTGAAAACATGCTTTTGTTATACGGCTGAATGATTAAGAAGCAAACGAAGTTAAGATCTCTAAGAGATTCCATGATAATGCTAAGTGAAGAAGTAATACAAACGGAACTTTGAAAAGGACAATGAGGTTACCGCGAGCAGCAGAAAAGTGAATGTCTGGTTTTTGCTGGATTCCTCAAGATGAGTTTCAATTAGCTTCCGCAAATCACTCAGGGTAGAATTCCTTAAGACCGAAAGTTTCATAATCATATTTCGTGAGAGCTCCTTTGATGCCTCCCATCTTACATAAACATTCATCATATCTGCTGCCTCGACTCCTATTGGTTCTTTGTTCTCTTTTGACTCCGTTTCCCTTTCACATGCGCTCAGCCTTGATATAGAGTTTTCACTAGGCTTTGGCTGAAGTACAAACTCCACTGAATGGATTTCTTTGGTGATTAACTCCTTGCACTGAGATAAAGGAGAAGATTGCATGGTTGCATCTTTTGGTTTTCTGTTCATGGGAGTTGGAACCGGGGCTTGTTGTGCTAATTCTCTGTGGTTACCACAAAGCCTGAATATATTCTGAATTCTTGTTCTTCTAGTAGAGTCAGAATCCTTTTCATTATCTACATCAGGTAGCCCATTCGGATCTTCAGTTAGGTTCTTTGATATTAAGGCTACATTAAGTCCTATGCACTTCTCCACATCTTTACCAACTTCTTCGTCCATGCTTTTTCTATCTTCCCCTTCATCGTCCCTCTCAAATATAGTGCTCAGGCAAACCATATCCGGGAAAAACTTAGGCTTATGAAAGCCAACATCCTCTTCTATACTAGAATTGTTACAATCCTGTTGAAAGCTATTGAAAGGTATCAAATTTGGACAATTCTGTTCCTTTATTATTTCCGTAATATCATGAACAGGTTGTAGATCGCCCATATCCAACTCCATTGATTTCTCCATTCCCTGATCTTCTACGCACATTTCAGCCAGTCGTTTTACAAATTTCACACCATCCCTGTCCGGTGAATGCAATTCACATTTAGTAGATTCCATTCCCTCTAATTGCTTCCTTAAAAAGTGGAGTTCCTCTTCTTGTTGATGCATTCTCTTCTCCATTTCCTTAAGTTCAAGACTCAAGGCCTGAGTCCTCTCATTGACCAGGCACTTGATCTCTTCTTCTTTTTCTGCTGCTCCCATTCCTTCAATGAGCTCAAGCTTAGATTGAAGTCCTAGTATTTCTTCCTCTTTACGCAAAAGCTCTCTTTGAACTTTGTTGAATTCCTTGTCTTTTAGCTTGTTCTCTATCTGTAGATTGTAAATGAACTGGTTCATTGCCACAATTCTTGATCTTAGTAGTGCTGAAGAATCTTCACTGCTTAGCTTATCCCTGGGAGTTGGCATGTGAGCAACACGGACAATGCACTTTGCCTTTGCCCCATATTCTAGAGTTGCAATAGTTTTGTGCATCTCTTTGGGATCAGGACTTGCACACAGAATCATTAGAATTTTTGATTTGTCATCTTCAAACGAATCCTACATAAAAATAGTACTTATAATATTACTTCATCGGAAAAGTACATGAATGTGCCAATTTGCAGAAAAACAAAATTGTGTCAGGTACCTATCCAGTAATGATTAGGATGAGATTTAAATCCCTTGAATTTCCTTTGAGATGGTGAAATACAAATTATATATTGCACCATCTTAAAGCAAATCCAAGGATTTTAAAGCCCTTCCTGAACAAAAATTTTGATCAGCATATATTGATACAATTTTTTCCGCAATTTTAACCTGTAAAAGCATTGTTAATTTGCTGTCTCGGAAAGGAATGTGGGAATCTCCGTTGGCAATGGACTCGACGACCCTTTTCAATGCTATATTTCCTTGGTTGATTTTTGCCGTCTAAAAAAGTAATCATTAGATATCGAAGCTGGAAAAGAAATTTTTGTATGATAAAAACTACAAATTCAATGAGCTATAAAAATACAAGAAACAGTTTAGTTATATACTATATAATACAACCATTTTTTATAACATGAATAAATGAGGAAAACTAAAAGTGGTAAACAAAAGTTATGTAAACGATAACAACAATAACATTATTAAGCATTTATCACACGATGTGGTTGGCTACATTTTTTTTCCATTGTGTCCTATTAAGAGTCAAATTCTCATTTAAATATAATAAAATAGGTTATTTCTAATACTTTCTAACCAAGCCCTTTTTGGCCTACCACTACTTTTGTTAACATGCGCTAAATCTAATACATCTACTCTCCTAACCGGGTCATCAGAAGATTGATATTTTTTGTGACCAAACCATCTAAGGCGACTGAAGCCCCGAAAGAGAACTGGAAGGTTTTGTTAGATAGTCGACAACCAGCAAAAAACTTGTTGAATAATCATGACACAAATCCCATAATACATTGTGTTAATTCACATGTAGTGGAATAAAGGCTTGATATTATTATTGTAATGGAGCTACTCCAATCTTTTCATGTATATACTCTGATAAGGTAGGGCATGACAAGGCAAGAAAGACGGTTAAGGGGGTAGGGTCCTGCAAGGAATTAATATATTACATTAGGAGGAAATAAATTAGGAAAACCTTATCTAATGAGATCATTTCCTAATTGAATTATTTTTAAATTAAGTTGTGAGATATATTAGGAAGGGGTTTGAATTAGAGAATCCTTTCCTAAAAAGATTCTTTTCTAATTAAATTATTTTCAAATTAATGAGGGAGATATATTAGGAAGGCGGCTAATTTAGGAGAGAGGAAGCCTATTTAAGTCTATAGTATGATTTATTTTATTCTTATGAAGAATTTTGTCTGAGTACTGCAGTTTTCTTTTGTGAGGGATCCTAACAACATCTAAGGTTTGGGAGAGAAGAACCTCTCGAAAGAGGATCAATTCTATCTTGCATCATGTTATTTGATTTCCTAGCGATCAAATTCTATTATTTTACTGAAATTTACCATTGTTCGTTGATTTTTGTCGTGCAAGAGCTATCAAATTTGTATCAGTGCATATTCTTGGACAAAAATCCAAGTTTTTGTTGTTGATTTCTGCTGCGATCTTCCTTAACATCTGCTGATTTCTGCTGTTTGGAGGGCATAATCAAGTCAAAGTTGCTTTTTTTTCACCGGGAAGACCTTGATTCGGGTACCAATGGCCGAAAAAAGAGTTGAAGCGTTGGAAGAAAGGTTGGAGGAGGAAGTAGGAAAACTACGAGCAAAAGTGGGATCAATAAATGAATGTATTTCAACGATAGAAGAAAGGTTTGGGAACACGGAGGAAATGATGAGCTTTATACTTAAAAGGTTCCGTCGAGAGCAAAAAGAAATCAGGAAGATGAGATACGGAGGGAAGACAAGGAGGAGGAAATTTCGAAGGAGGAAACACCCCACTTGGAGCCTATTCCGAGAAGGGGGATGGGTAGGGAGTATGTAGGAAGGAGGGAATACGAAGAAGAGGGCAGGCGGGCTGGATTTGGAGGAAGAAGGGGATATAAACGAAGAAGGGAAAATGGGGAATAGTGGAGGGACCACCATGCTAGTGCCATAGGAGGTATGGGGGGAAGAAGGGGTACATTGGGGCGGAGGGGATCAGAAGATTAGGAAGACGAAAATACTTGTATTTGAAGGAGATGACGCACACGGGTGTATATACAGAGTGGAGAAATATTTTATAGTGAACGGGTTGACAGAAGATGAGAGACTGATGGTCGCCACCCAATCTCTGGAAGGAAAAGCACTGTCATCATACCAATGGCGAGAGACAAGGTATCTAATCCATTTATGGGATGAGTTCAGAGAATGCTTGCTGGAGCGCTTTCAAGTCCAACAGGATGGGAATTATTATGAGCAATTCTTTGCCTTGTCACAAGAGGGCACTGTAATGGAGTATCGAAAAATATTTGAGCTTATGTCAGGACGTATAGAAAGGTTATTAGAGGCAATATTGGAGAGCAAATTCATGAAAGGCCTCAAACCAGAGTTGAGAGAAGCGGTACGAGTGGCAAGGCCCCAGGATCTGGGAGAGGTGATGGAGTTAGCACAGATGATTGAGAATAAGAAGTCACTAAATAAGAGTAGTAAAGGAGGCAGTGGAGGAGGCTCTTACCACACGACTACTACTTTCCTGGTACCTACGGTGCAGACCGTACCAATTAAAAGGGTGATGTCAAAGGAGGGCAGTTCGGGAACCCGACTAAGAGGAGATTTAAAGAGGCTGGCTGAGACTGAATTACAAGACAAGAGAGCAAAAGGGCTATGTTTCATATGTGATGAGAAATTTACACCAGGACATAAGTGTAAAAATCGCACATTACAGGTTCTCAATGTGTGTGATGAGGAAGAGGCGATGAAGAAGAGGAATTGAAGGAGGAAGATGAGGAAGAGGAGCTCGTGCATTTGGAGGTGACAAAAGTTTCAATGAACTCTATAGTGGGGTTCACCACAAATCACACTATGAAGGTAAGGGGACATATAGGAGGAGAGGCTGTGGAAGCCTAGTGGAAAACGGGGCATTACCCACAACTTTATAGCAAACCCGGTGGTAGAAAAACTAGGGCTGAAACTTGTAGACACGGGAGGATTTGGAGTGATGATAAGAATAAGAAAAGTAGAGAGGAGCAAAGGGATATGTCAAAGTTTGGTGGTAGAGCAGCAAGGGATCCATATCAGGGAGGATTTCCTTCCCTTGGAAATAGGAAGTATTGAAATGGAAACATACTTTGGCGGAGGCCAAGCTGAACTAGAAGGCTTTGCTTTGGAGATTTAGGTAGAGGGGAGAAGGGTGGTAATTAAGGGAGACCCCAACTTATTAAATGCAATGGTTTCGTTGAAAACCATGGTTCGTGCCTTTCAAGGGCAAGGAGGGGGATTCTTGGTGGAGCTCCAAAATCTTGAGGGAGAAGAGACAAAGGGTAGAGAAGACATTCCCGACAATTTCAAGCCCTTGCTTCAACATGTCAAGGAGGTATTCCAGCTTCCCCAAGGACTGCCACACCCACGGGAACACGAGCACTCTATTGTTTTGAAGGAGGGAGTTTCCCCCATTAATGTTCGGCCCTATCGATACCCCAAGATCTAAAAGGATGAGATTGAGAAACTGATTCAGGAGATACTTGGAGTTGAAATCAACAGGCTTAGTGTAAGCCTCTTCCCAAGTCTTGTATTGTTGGTGACGAAGAAGGATGGGAGCTGAAGGTTCTGCATAGACTATCGTGCTTTAAATAAGAAAACAATATCAAACAAGTTTCCCATACCGATCATCGATGAGTTGTTAGATGAGTTGCATAGATCTGTAATATTTTCCAAGATCAACTTGAAATATGGATATCATCAAATTAGAATGTGACCATAAGATATCCATAAGATAGCTTTTTCGGACACACGAAGGGCGTTATGAGTTTTTGGTGATGTCGTTTGTCCTCAGTAACGCACTGGCCACCTTCCAATCCCTAATGAACAGGATATTCTAGACCTACTTACAAAGGTTTGTGTTAGTTTTTTTTTATGATATATTGGTTTATAGTAGGTCCAAAGGGGAGCATTTGGAGCATATAGGAGTTGTGTTGTCGTCCTTATGGGAGCGCTCCTTATATACCAATAAGAAGAGATGTTTGTTTGTCTAGCCCAGAGTGGAGTACTTGGAGCATGTAATATCTTAAGAGAGAGTTACAGTGGACTAGAGTAAGATTGAGGCCATTCTTAGATGGCCCATACCCAAAAATCTGAAAGAACTAAAAGGATTATTGGGACTCACCGGTTACTATAAAAAATTTGTGAAAGGATACAGATCAATTGCAAGGCCATTGACAGAACAACTCAAGAAGGACAACTTCAAGAGGGGAGAATCGACCATCCAGGCTTTTGAGGAGTTGAAAAAAGCTTTGACCACTATGCAAGTCTTAGCCCTTCTAGATTTTAGCTAGTATTTTATTGTGCAGATAGACACCTCGGGTTTTTGGCTAGGAGCATAACTTATGCAGAACCAGAGGCCAGCATCCTATTTTAGTCAGGTGTTGATGGCCCGAGCCAGGCTCAAATAAATCTACGAGAGGGAATTGATGGAAATTGTGCTAACCATCAGAAATGGCGACAGAATCTCCGTGGAAGATATTTCATCATCAGTACAGACCATAAAAGTTTGAAATATTTGTTGGAGCAGAGAATGGTCACTGAAGAATATCAGAGGTGTCTTTCCAAGTTATTGGGTTATGACTTTGAAATCCAATACCGACCCGAAGTAGAAAACAAAGTAGCAGATGGGTTATCTTGGTGCATGGGCACCCTAGATGATGGCATCGTACGTGCCTTTGGTGGTTGACTAGAACGCGCAGGAAAAATGGACAACCATCCAGGATAATCAGTAGTGGGACAGAAGTTGCTTCATGAGGGGTGCTTTGTGCTTCCAAAGACCTCTTCTTGCATTCCCTACTTACTCCACGAGTTCCATGGTATGGCTATTGAGGGGCATGTGGGGGGCCAAAAAACATACCGTCAGCTATCTGTAGAGTTGTATTGGGAGGGAATAAAGAAGGATGTTGAGAAGATGGTGGTTAGCTGTGACATATGTCAAAGGCACAAGTATTTAGCAATGTCTCAAGGAGGGCTCCTCCAGCCATTAGCTTTGCCAGAAAAGGTGTGGGAAGAGGTGATCATGGATTTCATTGAAGGGTTGCCAAAGTTAGAAGGATACACTGTGATTATGGTGGTAGTGGATCAACTAAATAAGTATGCCCATTTTATTTCCATTCGCCACCCGTGTACTGCAGTATCAATAGCGATGGTTTTCATTAGAGAGGTGGTGAAATTAAATGGGATACCAGAATCGATCGTTTCGAATTGAGATAGGATCATTCTAAGCCAGTTCTGGAAAGAGTTGTTCAAGATGCAGGGGATCATTCCAAAAAGAAGCACTTCTTATCATCCTCAAACCGACGGGCAAACAAAGGTGGTCAATCTTAGTGTGGAAACTTATCTACAGTGCTTTATATTAGACACACCCAGGTTGTGGGCAAAATGATTGGCATGGGCAGAATATTGGTATAACACTTCCTATCATTTAGCAACTCAAATCACACCATTCAGACAATTATATAGAAGAGATCCACTGCACTTGATATATTATGAACATGGTAGCACATTGGTGGCTTCAGTAGAGCAGTATTTGAAGGACAGAAACTGAATATTGGTAGAACTAAAAGGGCATTTGTTGAGAGCCTAGCAAATTATGAAAACGAAAGAAGATGCACTAAGGAGGGGCATTCAGTTTAAAGTAGGGGAAATAGTTTATGTGAAGCTCTGCCCCTACAGATAGAAATCTTTGGCACAAAGGCAGAATGATAAGTTATCACCCAGAAATTTTGGTCCTTCCGAGATAGTGGAGAGCATCGGGGCCATGGCTTATCGCCTACTGTTACCACCATTGTCAGCCATCCACTCGGTGTTTCATGTATCCCAGTTGCGATGGGCGATATGAGAGCATACTCCATCTTCTTTACTTCACCTGACATTGACGAACGACATGGAGGTGTTAATGTAACCATTAAAGGTCAAAGGAGTGCGTCAGGGATTAAAAGGAAGAAAAGAGGTGTTGATCAGGTGGGAACACCTACCATAGCATGAGGTCACGTGGAAGGATTACCAAACTATTCAGCAGCAGTTTCCTGTATTCCACCTTGAGGATAAGGTGGAACTTTTAAGAGGGGGGGGAGTGGGGGGGGGGAGTATTAGTACGACAGGGTTGAACAAGGCAAAAAGAAGGTTAAGGGGGTGGGGCCAAGCAGGGTATTAATTAATTATATTAGGAGGAAATAAATTAGGAAAATTATTCCTAATGAGATTATTTCCTAATTTAATTATTTTCAAATTAAGGATGGAGATATCTTAGAAAGCAGACTGAATTAGGAAATCCTTTCCTAATTGAATTATTTTCATATTAATAAGGGAGATATATTAGGAAGGGGGATGATTTAGGAAGGAGGGAGAAAGCCTATTTAAGTCCATAGTAGGGTTTATTTTATTCTTATGCAGAATTTTGTCTTGAGTGTTATAGTTTTCTTTTGTCAAGGATCCTAGCAGCATCTAGGGTTTGGTAGAGAAGATCCTCCTCTCAAAAGATGATCAATTGTATCTTGCTTCTTGTTATTTGATTTTCGAGCAATGAAATTCTATTATTTTACTGAAATTTAATTATTGTTCGTAGATTTTTGTGGTACAAGATGTATCATACTCATTTTTCATTCTCTCTCAAAGTGTAAAACCAATTATTCAATTGAGCATCCTCATCTCTGTAACACATAACATAATTTTCAAATTAATGAGGGAGATGTATTAGGAAGGGGCTGATTTAGGAAGGAGGGAGAAAGCCTATTTATGTCCATAGTAGGGTTTATTTTATTCTTATGCATAATTTTGTCTTGAGTGTTGTAGTTTTCTTTTGTGAGGGATCCTAGCAGCGTCTAGGGTTTGGGAGAGAGGATCCTCCTCTCATCAATTGTATCTTGCTTCTTGTTATTGATTTCCTAGCAATAAAATTCTATTATTTTGCTGAAATTTATTGTTGTTCGTTGATTTTTGTGGTGAAAGACGTATTATACTCATTTTGCATTCTATCTCAAAGTGTTAAACTAATCATTCAATTGAGCATCCTCATCTCTGCAACACTTAACATAATTTTATGCTTCTCTTTTACTGACCAACATTTTGAGCCACAAAGCACTGTAGGTCTCACCACCATCTTATAAAAATTTTCGTTAAGTTTGATGGGCACATTTCTATCACACAATAGACTTAATGCATTCCTCAACTTCAACCATCAAACTTGAATTCTACAAATAACATCCCCATCACTTTGAAAAATAAACCAAAGATATCTAAAACATGCTCTCTTTTAATGAATTGATCGCCCAATGTTACAATCTCACCAGTAGATATATTACTACAAAAATTACACTCCATGTATTCTGATTTAGATGTACTCAAAAGAAAACCTTTTGACTCCATGGTTAACGTCCATAATTCAAGTTTTTTTTCTTCTCCCTCTCTAGTTTTATTAGCAAGAAGAACATCACAACAAAAAGCATACAGCATGGTACATACTTTGCAAATATCCAATAAGAACATGCACAACCAAATCAAAAATATATGAGCTTAAAACTAATCTTTTAAGTAATCCAACTAAAATTGGAAAATACTAGGTCAACCCACCTTGGGTTTGAGCATAAGTAATAACTCTAGTACATATAACCTTAATGACTTCAATATAAGCATTATTAACTCCTTTTTTTTCTAAAACTCTTTAGAGCACTTCTCTTGGAACTTTATAATATGTTTTATGTAAATCTATAAATATCATATGTTGATCCTCCTTAAACTCTCTATACATCTCCATTAAACCTTTTTAACATATGTATAGCTTCCATAGTAGACCTCGGTATGAATCCAAATTGGTTTTGAGAAATATTAGTATCACATTGCAACCTTAGCTCAATTACTCTCTCTTATAATTGTTACACATTAACTTAATTCATCTATAATTTGCACATTCTTGTGCAACATCTTTATCTTAAAAATTAGAACCAACAAACTCCTCAACTCATTGGGCAATTAAAAAGTTTAGTAAGCTAGGAATGTCATTGAGCTCGTAAGTGTTTCCACACCTCTATTATAATATCATTAGGTCACAATAATTTTCAACACTTCATTTTTTGTAAAGCCTCTCCAACTTCATTTTTACTAATATAAAAATAAAAATAAAATTCTTTATTTTCATTTAGATTGCTAAAGCCACTAAAGTCAATCGTTTTTTCACAATTTTTACTAAAAAGCTTATCGAAATATCTCATCCACCTATGTTGAATATCCTCTTCTAAAAAAAACGCTTTTTGATCTTTATATTTAATGCACTTCAATTGAACTAGATCCTTCTTCTATCTCTTTGCTTGACTAACTTATACATACATTTTTGCTGCCCTTAATAGTATCTAATCTATTCTATAAATCATTAAATACTAATTTCTTTACATCGCAAATTACTTTCTTAAAATAAAAGCTATGTAAACATAGAATAAAAATAAAAAGCGGAGTAATTCAAAAAAATTCTACATAATGAACAAAGATTGGAAAGAAAAATTAAGTTTACCTGCATCTTTGCCTCAAATCCAGCTTGGCCTGCTTGCTCTATATTCTCGGAGCCAGCCATGTCAACAAGCATAAGCCTTCCTCCAACAGATGGTACATCCAAGATGATCTGCAAGAAAATTTCAGGAGAGCAACTAATATGCAACAACTTGAAGATAAATTTTGTATCTTTTAAAGGGTACAAAGAAAAAAGTTAATGAACTGACCACACAATGGCTTCGAGAACTTCTTTCATTCAACAAAGTGCTTTTAACAATCCTACGTTTCTCAACTTTTGCAACTTCTCTAGATATTTTCCCAGCTTCATTTCCGCATATATAAGTTGCATTCTTTGCCTTTCTTCCCATCACTTCCAGTCTTGCCTGTGTAGCGACAGTAGTTTGAACAGATAATTCTTATGAACAAAAATAGTAAGATAATGTGGTTATTTAACCAACTGATTATTTACCTTCTTTTGCAAAAAAAATCGGAGAATGAAGTATCATCATTACATGGGCATTAATAGATAAAGAGAAAACAAACGCTAAATTGACAAAGCCCAAAAAATCAAAGACGATAACCTATGCCACAACTTGATATTCAGTAGCAAAGGTCTTTCTAACAAATCAGGTTAATAATAACCTGCAGATACAGTTGAAAAGCACGTTATGTATAGACAAAGAACAATTTTGATTATAAAATTCGCCATATTTTGTTACGAAGTGAAAGGAAGCGAAGTCAATAAAGTCAATACCATTGCAGAAAATGCAGGTGAATGTCTAGAAAGTTGCAGCGAAGTGAGAGAAATTAAGTAAATGGGGCAAGTTCAAGTGCAGCAGACAAGTTTTCAAAATGAACTTTTTCAATAGAATTTTACTGTCAGAAAACACTACATCAGAATGCAGAAAATAAATCGGGGAAAAAAATTAACATGATCACGAGCAATAAAATAAGTGTCCCTCTGCTCATTCCATTATGTATTATCAAATATGCACTAAACACAGTACAAAGAATTTGTAGGGAAAAAAATGGTAGAAATACCAGTTTTTTAGAGTGGAGAGAACACAAGTGGATGCTGTGCTTAACTGATGTACATAGATGAAATATGAATAGCATTCAGGCAATAATTAAGGCTCTGATCTTCTTTTGTATATTCTTGTGAAAAAAGCAATATCCTGTATTGTCATACTGGCAAAAAATAGCAACTTATACGAATAAACAGGAAGGAAATTCTATTAGATAACTACAAATTTCAGCCGACTTACGATAACACTAACTTTTGGATAAGTAAAATAAGCTAAATATCATGGATTACTTGTTTCAGCCAGTAAATGTAGACTTTGCCATTTATTTTGCCAAAAAGCAGCAATTCTCAAGCAAAAAAAGTTAAAGTTAGAAAAAAAAAATGTAAGGCTCAACAGAAATGCATAGAAATTTTCTCTCAGAATTCTCCGGCCTTGTAGAAAAAAATAGTGGCTGGAATCACAAAACCAAACTCGGAACAACCCCAGCAATATAAAGTTCTATAAAAAAAATTGGTGTGCAGATGCTTGATGGCAATATGGCCAGAGATCGCATTACTCCTAGGTATGTGCACCAAACTAATGAGGCTGTAACATACTGTTGTGTAATACAACCTCATTGGTTCTACACATCTACATGCACACAATGGTAGAATCATGGAAAGGTGATGTAGAACTAAATGCGTAGGTAAGTATGCAATGTTTGAGATTACACGCATTTTAAATTAGAACAACAATAATTAAATTTACTATAGGCGATTTTAAATAAATCTTGAAAACAAGAAGGATGTGAGCTAAACCTAGGCCAAATTACATGAAAAGACTTAGAATCATGAATAATCAGTTCTAATCAAGCTTAGTATAACACGGGGAATTTTCAAAGGAAATCCCTAAATTAACATTTAGATTAGACACTACTAGGATCCACTCACTCACACTCTTGTGGTTTGGCTAAGCGGAGATAGATTACACAACCTTTATGATGTCACAATTAAAGGGAAAACTTAGAAAAGCAAAGACTTGGAGGAGAAGCTCACATTCATCAAGCTTTCGAAATGATTCACCACTGAGTGGGAGAGAGTTCTTCGTCAATAGCGGCGGCAAGGGAAAACTTAGATAATTCTTTCAAAGTAGCCTTCAACAGTTCAGTCAACCTCGAAGTTGACGTCGAAGAATGGAGACTCGAGGATGTCAACTTGCCCTTGATCAGCCATCCATGAAGGGGCATCAAATTACAAGGTTATGGACTTCTGGAAAGCAACCGGTGACCTTCCAGATGGCAAGACAGCAGGGAGAGGTTGCAAGAATTTCTGAGCAGCACTTGATTTGCTACTGGACAGTAAGTTTGGAAACTAAGGGAAGCATGGCAAAAGGATTAGGTTGCTGAAATTATAGGACAACAACCTCAGGTTGAGTGGATTTAATTTGGGAGGGAAAAGAATAGAGAAATAAAGGTAGGATTTGGTGGGGGAGGGGAAAGGGATTTAATTCTAGGCTCCAATTTGAGTTGGAAGCATTAAAGGGAAGAATTATTTGGAGGAGAGAGGGTAGGGCGGCAGGTGTGGAGGTGGGGAGATGATGTGGGAGGATTTAAGAGAGTTTACAAAATTGAATTAATAAATAAGGAAAGGAAAATCATGATAGGTCTCCAATTAAATTTGATTGTGAGGATAAAAGGAAGGTTCCTAATATAATTTATCCTATTTTAAGAAAGAATTTCAAATTCAAATGAATTTAATTTTGAATTTTGAAAACTTTCCTAATTTAAGATGTACCGAATAAGAAGGCTTTGAATAATCAATCTGAATTTTGGAGGCAATGGAAAGGGAGGTGGCTGGCAGCTAGGGAATTGGAGATGGGCCTAGGGTTTTGTCCAACAGCTAGGGAGGGGAGGAGACTTAGGGCCGGCGGATGGGGAGGGAATTTCGTGGATTTGGCCGGCGGTTAGAAGAGGGATTAGGGGGCTAGGTATGGATGGTCGGCGGCATGTAGGGTGAAAGAGGAGGGGATAGGGCTTGGCCGGCGGCTTCTCGAGAAGATTTGGCCGGTGGTTCGTGGAGGAGCAGTGGAGAAAGAAGGTTAACCACAAGCCCGGACGCTTCCTGCGGTTGGGTGCTCCCTTTGCCCTCACCTAGGGTTTTTACTCTCAAGATGACTCTTTCAACTCTTCCAAGCACAAGTGCAAAAATTTGTTTGTAATAATATTCATTATTTCCCATTACAATAACAAAACAAAACAAAAGACAAAAGTGCTCCCTGGGATCACAAGCACCTACTCCCTCAAGTGAGGGTAAAACTAAAAAAGAAACAACAACAAATCAAATACAACTAATAACTCAAAAATAAAGCGGTGCAACCATGGCCGTAGATCATCGGCCTCGTCTCTGGTAAACTCTCCATGGTTGGATGTCCTCATCAAAAGGCTTGGGGCAATTGCACCCAAAATTGTGGCAAATCTCTACATATTATACATTGCATTGAAAATTTTGCCATTTTAAATTTAAATGAATAATTATATTTTTAATATCAATTATATTTTTAAAACTAGTTATCAATCATATATTTATTCCTTAACATCAATTAATTTATCATATTTTAATTATATATGAATATCATAATTAAATTAATTTATTTAAATTATTATCAATCATATATATTCTTCTTTACTTTAATAATTTTTTTAAGTTATTATCAATGATACATATATATATTAATGATAATAATTTATGAAATTATTGAAGTTAAAAAAAAAAAAAAAGCTCTTGAAATCCTTTGATTGACTGCAATAACTAAAAATATATTTTCATCAATTAAGATTGTCTGAATAATGTTATGACATAAGAAGGAAGATGATTTTCTTCTAAATAATTCATTGATAGCATATTTTGAGAAGATAGTACAATATGTTTTAAAGCAGGATTAATCGTAAATGATTTTTATGCAATGAAAAGGTGTCAAGCACAATTTCAGATGTCTAAATATAATAGTTAGATTGTAAGTTATTTTTTTTACTTTGTAGGATGTTCATATTTATAAATTTGTTTATTGAGAAAAGGACCAAAATGGTACCTTAACTCTTTGTGAGTGACCAAAATGATCCAAAACTCTTTTGTGGGACGAGTTTGGTCCCTCGACTCCTTAAAATTGAACGATCTTTATCCTAACATCCAATGTTTGAGTTAATGGTTCTAAATGTAATTTTTAAATAATTATAATTTTTCTAAAAAAATTATTAAATATTTCTTTAATAAAAAAATTAATAATAATTTAAGTTTTAATTTCAAAAGTTTTAGTCATATTTTATAAAATATGATTAGTAAAAATATATGTGACGAAGTTGAAAATAACATCTATTTAATTTTATTTCTCTAAATCAATAAATATCATATTTTATAAAATATGATTAAAACTTTTGAAATTAAAACTAAAATTATTATTAATTTTTTATTAAGGAAATATTTAATATTTTTTAAAAAAATTATAATTACTTAAAAAATTATGTTTAATAAAAGTTAAATTAAAAAATTATCAAAATTTTCTTACATTTAACAGCATTTATAACTCGAACATTAGATGTTAGGACAAAAAATGTCCCATTTTAAATAGTTATTAGACCATATTGTTCTCTCAAAAGAGTTAAGGACTATTTTAATCACTCACAAATAGTTGAGAGACCATTTTGGCCATTTTCTCTTTTTGTATCTATTTATATTAGTTCAAAATGTAGAATATCTAATTTTTATTTATTTAGTAAGCTTTTTTTATTTTGCCAACTCTCTCTTTCAATCCTGATTCAGCCACTAGGTGAACATAGTTATCCATAGCTAATAATTTACTAATCTAAGGGCTTCAAACCAATACACATTAGTAATAAGACAATTTAATTTGATTCTAACATATCAAGTGGGTTTGTGCAAGGGTAGACGGACCAATATGTTAGGGTGGGTAATTGCCCGTCCTCACTTCTCATTTTTCTTTATAAGGAAAAATGATATGCACAATAGAGGTTGAATTTCTTTTTTTTTTTATTAAAACCCTTAACCCTTCCCCTACCTGATCCTACCACCATGCCTTATTGCAAAGAAGCATGCAAGAGAGAATTTGTTTAGCAAAATTTGATTCCTTTTTTGGAAAACTGAGAAAGTTTTTTGTTTGTAGTCTTATAATCATGAAACCTATAGCTTTAGAAAAGAAAGAAGTTTTATGTTGAAGCTTTAATTAGCTTCTTTTTCTTCTTAATCTATACTAAAATAACGGTGAGCTTATGAGAGAGGATGGTCATATCATTTTCAAGAACATTTTTTAGCTAGTTTTGAATACCTAATGCAATTAAAACTTAAATTTCTTTTTGATTATATATTATATTTTATTTGAAAGGACCGTGTTTAAGTGTGATTATGACAGTACTTTCCTACTCTTAATTTTATATTAAAAATTTCTCTCTCTCTCTCTCCTATCAAATTTACCTTGCCCCATTTTTCTCTTATTATTTGCAACGACTATTATATATTTATAATTATAGAGCTTGAGGGAGGAAATTTAACATTTGAAGTAGCATTCCAATCAATTGAGATAACTCATTTTTTTCTGAAAGAAAATTAGTATAAGGATGATAGCTTTTAGTTCAACTCATTTATTTTCTGTATATATCATTATTCAATTTCATTTTGTTATCACATTAGTTTATGCGAGTTATACAAAAACACTTGAGAGAGAATAATAATCACTTTTCTAGCAATAGTTTAAATGTATTGATATTTGAAGAGGATAGAACAAGTGGAGATTGATATTGACAATAATCTAGCTAACACTAGAATTCAACCTTTGAATAGAAGCTATGACGTTAATGAAATGGATAAATTTCAGAGAACATAATTGGTTAAGGGACCCATAAACCAAAAAATTATGATTTCCCCCATACAATGATGAATGATCTTGCACGAAAGTTTGATCTTTAAGTTGGAGTGGCCTTAGCAAGAGAATAAATGTAATTAAAAAAAAATATCATCTTTAAGCGGGATTGCTAATCTTGTAAGAGAAATGGTTAAAGTAAAAAAAAAGGATAATTTCTATCCCTTACTTTATAGGCCTATTATTTTGATATTAATTTTATCAATTGCTACTGATATAGAAGTGAAAATTGTTACACATCAATTGATTAATAGAATCTATGATGAATAGCTCAATAGCTGACAAATAACATAAATTGAAGAAGAAATATTTGACTTATTCTATCTAATATTATTAAAAATGCATAAAAAGATTGATAAGCTTATAATTATTATTCAAATTATCAATCATAAGGAAATACAAGACTTTATTTTGAATTGTATTTTCCATTTTATTCATTTTTTAACATAAGTAATATATTTGCCAACCCTCAAAAAGACTAGTTCTGCACTTGAGTTTGTGGATAGAACATGTTTTGGGAAAAAAATATTTTATTTTTCACTTATTTTGTTTGTGATATTAAAATCATTAAATTTAAGAGATTATTTTAAGCATGAAGTTCATGTTAATTTCTAAGAACAACCTACAAAAATTTTGATTTAGAAAATTTATTATTGCCGAAAACATATTTTTTAACTGAAGGCAACCAAATGAAACTTAATACTAGAAGCTTCCGGTTACAAACAAATGCACCTACAGGTCCAAATATTCAACTCAAATGCATTACTTAGAAACACAAGTGACACACATCCTGACTTCCAGCAAGGAATCATGAACAAAACTTCAGCTATTGAAAATACGCCAGACTTCCAGCAGGAAATCAAGAACAAAAAAATGTTTGTAATTTTTATTTTTTTTTAATGTTAAATTGAAATCATTAAATTGAGGAGGTTGACGTAGAGTTGATGTTAATTTCTAACTACACCCTAGCAAATAATTGATTTCGAGAATTTTCTTATTTTCAAAAAACATAATTTTTAACTTAAAGCAACCAAATGAGATAAAAACCAAAAGTTTCCTGATAAAAACAGAAAAGTCACGCTCCAACGTAATCAAAGCAGTAACTATCTGCACTACTAATGATCCTAAAGTTATAACTAAGGAAAACGTACACAAACGAATAAGGGCTCACATCATTCAACTCAAAAGGGCATTACTGAGAAGCAAAATATCAAATAAACACAATTAACAATCACCCTGACTTACAGCAAAGAATCAAGAACAAGACTCACCTTGGGAGTGCTCCCCTTCGGTAGCGCAATCCCATCAGTTCCAGCACCATTACCATTCCAACCAGAAAGAAGATCATAAATCTCCTCATTATATATCTCCAGAACTGCAACTTGGACAAACAACGTAATCCCAAATCCCGCAACTTCCATGCCACCATCCCTATCCCCTTCCCCAAGAATATCCTTAAGAGCCATGTACACGATCCCCGATTCCTTCAGGCCCCCAAACATGGTATGGCTCTTCCCAGCCCCCGTTGGGCCGTACATCATGATGGTGCACTTTGCACCGGATCGCACCACCTTGACTCTCGACTCCACGAATCTCCTATAGAAACCCTCAAGGTCCTCGTTCTCGGAGAGGGAGACGCCGTCAAGGCTGAAATCCCTGTAGCCCACATCGGAGCGCACGCGGAGAGAGCGACCGTCGCCGGATATTTCTAAGGCGGAGGAAGACAACGAGGATTTGTCCTTGCGGTCGGGAAGGTCGCGGATCCGGCTAATAACTTCGACTGGGTGTTCTGTTGGGGTTACGGAGAGAGGATTGAGAGATGTATGCGGGTAGGTGCTGCCTTTCGGGTTGGGGAAGTTGAGGCGGTGTTTTGACTGAGGTGTTTTTGTTGGGGTTTGGCAGCTTGGAATAAGGGATTTTTGGTAGGGCGTGGGAGCCATTGCAGAGATGGATCAGAGATGTTTGTTTGAAGAAGATTAGTGAGGGTTTGAGGGCCTTTGACGATTCTTGTGCTTCTTTGAGACAACGAGCAAAAGGAGCAATAGACGGAGCAATGTGAGAGAGAGAGAGAGCATAGTCGGAAAATGAGTTTTGCTTTGTTTTTAAATTTATTACCGGCTAGGGATGTTTTGAAGTTTGAAAAAGCAGTGGACCGTTAGGGATTCCGACGGCTCTTTTGTTACTCGTCTGCATTTTTTTTTTGGAAAATTGAGAGCTAGCCTATTCTATAAAAAGAACAAGGATTACAAAATTACACCAAAAAATAACTTAGCCAACAAAAAGAGGCTAAGACAAAATGGTAATAATCGAAAAAATACAACTCAGAGAAAAGGAGAAAAAAAAAAAACAGACAGAAACCCTGTCTGGTCGGGACTCAGAATGATCAAGTATGATCATTAAAAGAAATCAGAACCTCCTTTGGTTGCCCGAAGACCATCAGGCGTCATCATTGTCCATGACCCAAAATATAGCATGCCAAAATAGAATTTGATCCACGACAACCGCAACCGAATCGAAAAGGGGTCTGCCAAGACTTATATTCATGCAACAACACCATAAGCCATAGAACACTGTTAGCCGACGAGAAGATTGGGTAGCAAAAAAATGCCACCAACAAACTAGAATTTCGTTAAGAGCAAAATATATACTCTTGTAATAGTACCAGCAACCGAAAACAATGAGGCAGCAGACAGGTTGGGCAGTAAATAAATGCCACAAACAAATCAGAAAATCCATTAATAGCCAAACAAACGTGAAACGTAAGTCACCAGGCACCTTAAACCACCATAGAGAATCACAGTTGAAGAGGAATAACAAAAACAGACTGCCAACCAAGTGTAAAAGACGTTCCAGCAGAGCAAAGCAAAGACAAATAATCTCAGACGACACTGTCAGCATTAAGATAATTGAAGTTTCTCTTTTAACAGGTACCCTCTTTTCCACTTATCAAGCTTAAGATATAATGCTTTAGAGTTTTCTTAATTAAAGTGGTGGAATAAGCAGCACTACCTTTAAATTTGCGACTGTTGCGTTCATTCTAAAGGAAGTAAACAGTGGCATGAAATATGAGAAGGGTCACATTCTTACAGTCCCAATCGATGGACAAGCCATCAATAAAATGAAGAGCTTGAGCAATATTGGGTCTTAAGTTGAAAGTATTAAAATGGGGTATAAGCTTGGTTAAAACTTGAAAAGAGTAGTCACACTCAAAGAAGAGATGAGAAGTATTCTCATAGTGACTATGGCAGAGAGAACAAACTTGATCTCCAATATATATATTTCTATATCTCAGAGCATCCACAGTTTTAAGTCCACCAGAAAAAGCCATCCAGGTAAAAACAGTGTAACGAATAGAGTGATATTTATGCTAAACCAAATTGTACCAGTCAACATCGTGATCAGATGTAAAAAAAACTGATTATAAAAATCCTTAAAGGTTGCATTTTCATCATTATCCCAGGTAACATGCTTAGAGCAGGTAAAGGAGATAGGAATAGTATTAATGAGATCTATAATGCTTTGACTTAGGGAATCAAAAAGTGACCAAGAGTCACCAGAAATCCAATTCGCAAGGGTAGTATCCAGATCACCAGACATACTAGAAGCAAGGTTAGGGAGCATAGATGAGATGCTATCATTAAAACACCAATGATCCCAGAAAGAAGCAATGGGGCAACCCAAAGAAACTTAAAAATAGAATTTACTTTTAAATTGAGCAGCAATGGAACAAACACTCTTCCAAAATCCAGAACTGAAGCGGGGGGCAGAGTTTCCAAGGAGATAGTATCTAGTTTTAAGCCAGCTAGACAATAAAGAGTCGTTGTTGTATAGCCTTAAAATGGTCCCATAATTAAAGGAAGATCTAAGAGCTTGAAAGGAGGCAATACCCAGCCCACCCTTAGAGAAAGGTTCAGTGGCACTCTTCCAAGAAATAAGGTGCAGTTGCTTAGAAAGAGAGTCTCCATGATATAAGAGCTTAGAGCAGGCTTTACCGATAGCTTTCAAGATAGTTTTTGGAATAATATAGCCTCTTAACAAGTAAGCCACCAAATTAGAGATGGTATACTTGATGTATTGCAACCTACCTGCAAAAGAAAGAAGCTTTGCTTTCCAACTAGAAAGCAAGTTAGTAACTTTTTTGATCAAAGGGTTAAAATCAGAGAGCTTGGTTATTCCTAGAGAGATAGGAATGCTCAAGTAGGAAATTTTGGTGGAGCAATTGTGAATATGGAGGGCTTGAGAGATGTTGTGGGAAATGGTGGTTTGAGGGGATATAAGAAGGATGCTTTTCTCCAGATTAAGATGTAGACCAAAGAGGTTGGAAAAATGTTTCAGAGTCCTCATGAGGCTGTCACAATTCCTGAACTCAGCTTTCCCAAAAACCAGTAAGTCATCAGTATAGGTGAGATGGGATATTTGGAAATTATCAAAGGTGAAGCCTTCAAAATAGTCAGGCTTAGATGAATCATCAATAAGATAAGAAAGAGCATCCATGTTAATGCAAAATAAGTAAGTGCTAAGAGCGCATCCCTACATGAGCCTAGAAGTAGAAGTGAAAAAACTGTGTAGCCCCCCATCAATGCAAATAGAAAAGTGGGTATCATTCATACAAGCTCTTATCCAATTGAAAAAGATAGGAGGGAAGCCTTTTTGTGCCAATCTAGCAAAAAGAAAATCCCTTGAGACAGTATCAAAAGGCTTCCTAATGTCAAATTTAGCACAAGATTTTATCTCTTTGCCTCTTAGAAAAGAACCCAAGTAAATCAGCATCAAGAATAGGGCTATTAGTAGAGAGCCTATTGGTAATAAAGTCAGCCTATCTATGGTGGATAATTTCATGCATATATGGTTTGAGTCTAGTGGCAATAATCTTGGCAATAATTTTGTGGAAGGTATTACACAAAGAGATAGGCCTAAAGTCATGAATAGATTCATCATGTGTGTTCTTGGGGATAAGAGCAATCGTAGTTGCTTTAGCACCTTTAGGAAGATAGCATTTGCTAAAGAAAGATCTAACTACTTGACAAATTGAAGGACCCGTTCTAGCCCAAGTATTCTTGTAGAAAGCAAAATTAAAGCCATCAGGACTAGGGGCAAAAGAAGAACATCCAGAATTAATGGCTGCCAAAATTTCTTCAATAGTGATAGGAAGAATAAGATAGTGCTTGGCTTCATCAGATAACAAATTCCCATGTGGAGTACTATCCAAATCAAAAAGAGACGGCTTAGGAGAGTTGTAAAGGTCCTTGAAATGATCAATATGTCCTTGCATATTAGAAGTTTGTGACTGCTCAGTGCTACAGATAGAGGAGTGAAGAATACTTCTATTGTAAGATTACTTATTTGAATTCTAAAATAAAGAAATTTCAAGTCTTCCTCTCCCATTCTTTAGCCACTTGACTTTAGATCTCTGAATAATCCATTTTTCCAACAGAGAATTATAGTAGGCAAATCCAAATTTACTTTTTTGAGATTACCACAGAGATTGACATTAAGGGGGTCTGAATCAACAAGAAGCTGATAATGCTTTTGAAGAGAGGAAAGATCAGCACACTTAGCCTCTAAAAGATTAGAGGATTCCCATATCTTAGACTTAATTTCTTGCTTCAGGAATTTAAGCTTGTTATAGAGGGAGTTGATGGGGTTTCCTTGCGTAGGAGTAGCAAAAATTGAAATTAGAATGTCCCAAAATTTAGGGATTTTGCACCAATAGTTTTAAACATAAGTCTTCTACTGATGACCTTCACTTGTGACCAAAAACCAAACTATTGCACACTTTGTAAAAAGAATCCGGGAAAGAGGAGATCCATGAATCATTAATGAGCACACGGTCTAACTTTAGATTGATGGGGTTGTCAGCCCTTTGATTAAACCATGTGTAGTAATTACCCAAAGAAGGAAGGTCCACAAGATTAGTATTAAAAATAAGAGAGTTGAAAGGAGCCAACCTAGAAGAATTAATAACATTCCCACCAGACTTTTTAGAAGGAAAGCGGCAGCAATTGTAGTCTCCTAGCATGACCCAAGCCATACTATTATTAGGATTGATGTGTCTGAGCTCATTCCATAGGAGATTACGTTCCTCAAAAGAGTTTGAAGCATACACCACCAAAATGAGGAACAGAGAGTGATCCCCATTGTTAACAATACCTGCAATAACTTGCTTAGAGATAAAAGTAGGAGAAAAAGAGATCTTATTAGCATTCCATTTGATCGAAATATGACCCATAGAGGCAATATCAAAATTATGACAACTCAACTCATCATCATAGATCTTATGAGTCAAACAAAACCAAGGATCTTCCAGGTTGTGAAGATGAATCCGATTTTCAAGAAGACAAACCAAGTCAATGTCATGGTCACGGACCAAATTCTTACAACATAGTACCTTATCAGGGTTATTGAAACCCCTGATGTTCCAAATCACAATGTTTGGGTGGGTCATGAATTATTAATGAATGATTTAGGGCCTTTCTTGGAGACCTTCCCCCTAGTACTTCTTTGTGGCTGAGGAGGTGGTTTGGATTGGGAGGTGGAAGGCTTTGAGCTAGAAGGGGCAGTAAAATTAGTCGGTGGAGGAGAGCAAGAAGGGTTAGATTCCTTGAGACGGTCATCTGGCTCCAAGGTGGAAATAGATTCAGAGTTAGAAAGCATTTGCAAGGTAGAGAATTTATTAGGTGAGTGAGTTTTTGGTAGTGGGGAGATGTGAAGAGAAGGGAGACGATCAGAGGAGGAGGAAGATGGCAGTGTGGGAGAATTAAGATTTGGAATAGCCATAGTGGTAGGGTCTGGGAGAGTAGTGGTGGCTGTGGAGACAGGATTTGGGAGGGAGGAAGAATCTGTGGTGTTGGGGATTTGAGGAGGAGGTATAAGATTTGTGGAAGTAGGAGTGGTATCGGTAATAGCTAAAGAAGGGACATAACCATCAATATTGTCAGGAGGAGGGTTCGGGTGAGGGTTAGGTGTTTGGAGGATGCCTTTTGAGTTTTTAGAGGGAGGTTTGGTCTGTGACAGGTACTTCTGTCACGAAAAGCTTTATAAAGGAGGGAAATGACAGGGTTTGGGTTGGAAGGACAAGAAGCTGCTTGGTGATTAAAGGACTTACAAAGCTCGCAAATCATCGGGCACCATTCATATTGAATTTGCAGGTTAAAGAGCTTCCCTTCAACCGAAA